ATTCAATTCAATCCCCGAAAGGGCAACAAACCAACACATTTTTCCTGATAATTATCCTGTAACTTTACTGAATAAAGAAATAAAACCTCCAACATTTCAGGGGCAGACATTCGTTATAAGAACTGTTTGTGAACTAAAAATCAAGAATGACGGATACTATTTGTCCGTGATTTGGAAAGCCCAGTGCGTGCTCGCCACGCAGGGGAAACAAATTCTCTCGGGGATATCTACCGTGAGGTTGACACGACACCTGGACGGGTAGCGTTCCAGAGCAACGAGAGACCGTCAAACACATGTGTGGTACACTTGCTTTTCAGGAGCTGCTACCGACAAACCAGGAAATAACAGCTGAATATTTCATCTGTGACACTTATGCGGTTGTGTGAGGATATGTTGAGCAGTGCAGCATCAAAAGCAATGAATTCGAAGGAAAAATGAGGACGGAGTCAACAACATCCGTAAGTTTTAAACACCGATACACAGTCCATCCTCTCTTTCAAGGCTCACTTGGTCAGTGGCATGATGACGTAGGTCACGTACCTTCACGGCGAAACTGTGCCACCTTGCGGTGACAACTGAAATACTGCGTTTCAGTTAAATAACAATAACTACAACGCAGCCCAACACATTTCACAACTAGAGAACACAAATTGAATATCTCAGCATTTTTGGTCTTGACCAATAAACTAGTAAAAACTGTCTCGACTTTACCTGGTGATATTCTCATGCACGAGGCGACCGCGAAAACGCCAAACAAACGTCACCACACCGATTCAGTTCACACGACGGTAAGAGCCAACGATCTGGAAAATCTTGTCTTCGTTTTTACTCCTCCGCATTTTGTTGCTCCGATTCACAGCGTTCACAACTAAAGTGTGCAGTTTGGTTTGTGTGCACTCAAACAGAGTCGAGTCAACTACTGCCACCTGTAGCCAAGTGTCATAGACTACAACCAGACACACATCTCTGTCACCGCGTTTTTATTCCCGTGTCATGCACAATACATTTGTAACTTTGCGTTTTTCGTTGTGGCGTCATGCAAAAAAAACCTTTAAACTAAGTGAAATTGTATTGTGTATTTATTTTTGGCCTTCATTGGTAAGAAATACCTAATTGTAGCTATACACAAACTTCTAGAAATCACCACTCCTATTCACAGATGAAATAGTCAGTGTTTATTTCCCTGTTTGTCGGTATCCTGAAAAGCAAGTCTACCGCATTTCTGTTTAACCGTCACCAGTTGATCTGCGACTCCAGTTAATCTCGAACACCGGACACGCTGAAGGTCTCAATAAAAGAAGAAAACGATTATTAAACGATGAGAAAACTTTGTGTTGTGGTACGGCTACTAAGAATAAGTATTAAGTTTGAATCTGAAACGAAACGAAAACCGAAAGTGAACGCCTTGAATTAGGTTTCCTGAGTTGTTGTTGTCGTCGTTGTTTTTCCTTTTACTAAGAGTCAATCTGGGCTTCAATCAGTGTTCAGTATTTTCGTTTGTTTACATCCTGGGTGTTGGTTTGAAGTGTTGAGGACAAATAGCAAACTGGATCTGAATTCACTTGCTCTAATATGAAGATCAGGATAAATGGTCACATAAATTTGGTCATCAACTCTGTATGTTAACTCAGGGTTTTCCCTGCACTTTCATAGGAAAGGGGTGGTGTTGGCAGTATCTGACCAGTCTAAAAGGGGCATTTCATTGGTCAGCTACATCAGAGATATTCTCTAATGGTGGTTAAAAATCTTTATAATGATCTTATAGCTGGAGTATTACCTGCTCTGGAGCAGCAAGGAGTGAACCACCGTCAAAGAACAGAAAATCCAAGGTTAACCCAGAAGTAGTAGTGTATCTCCCACTATTATTATTATTATTATTATTATTAGTAGTAGTAGTAGTAGTAGTAGTAGTAATAGTAGTAGTAGTAGTAGTATGTTAAACTTGTTTCTGTCTTACCTCACTATATTGTGCAGTTGTTAATATTTAGATGGTTATTCCTTGATTTTGATATTAAATGATTTTATAATAATGTTAGTGCACTATAGCATTAATAGATCACCATAAAACAGAACGCCTGCACTGTTCTTGCTGTCCTCATATCACATTTGTAGGTAGACTAAAGGACTTTTCTATAGGAAACAGCAGGCTAGATGGAGCACAAAGAAACCTTATTGCAATAGCAAAGTTATTCAGAACTAAAGCTGCTTTCCAATAGCAGGTTGGTAAAAGTCAAAGCCTCTGGAGGAGACTCTGACAGCACAAAAAGAAGAATGTTGCGTTAGCACTCACCCTGCCTCAGCTCCACTTTTCCTCTTTCTGCTCTCAACACTAAATGGAGGCTGAAAGGACTTTCACCTTGGCTGCCATTTTCTCCTCCCATCTGCATTGACAGGAAATATTTTTTACCCAAAACTTTATTAGCAAGTATATACAGAACATCTTAATGTCAGGAATAAAAGGGAATAACAGTGGAGACATACTAAAAGAATAATAACAGAACAATAATACAAAATAAATATAATAGATAATCACAACTTTACATAACATTTCTGCAACATATCATTCATTTTAATTGCCTCTTTGTTTGCAAGTACTTTGACTGTGGTGCTGCATTGGAGAAGTTCTTGACAGACGTGATTAATATGTGGTTTGGTAAATATGATATTTTCCCAGGAGCAGCAGAAGTTGAATGAAGCAGGTGACGTTTTTTTCCTCAAAACATGATACAGTGCCCTCATTGAGTTATTTGTTAGGTTTTCTGCCTAATATAATGTTGTAAACAGTGATGGGAATAACAGCGTTACAAGTAACACCGTTACTAACGGCGTTACTTTTTTCAGTAACGAGTAATCTAACTAATTGCTATTTCTATCGTTACAACACCGTTACCGTTACTAACAAGAAAAATGCGGTGCGGATGCGTTACTATTTTTTCCATCTGTCTTCCGCTTACTGGGAGGTAGGAGGGCAAAAGAATCGCACGAGTGCTGCTGATTGGCTGGGTAAGAGTAAGGTAGTCATTGGAAAACCAATCAGTGGTAGACTTGGGCAGATGTTCACATACAAACAGATAGCACAGTAACAAAAATCAATGGGTAATTCGAAGTTAGCATTTTTTTAAGTGGAGGTACAGACATTTTTCACTCAAAGAGATAAAAGGCAAGAATCTGTATGTAAAATGTAGCCTATGCCATGGAACAAAGTGCCTTTCCACATCAGTTACAAGCAATTCAAATCTTACGAAGCTCAACGTCCCATGCTTCAACAAAACTGGTCGCCAAGAATGATGGTGTTGATGCTAGCAGGCACAGCTCAAACCCAGGTGAGGCTAACATGAGCTCAGCGAGCAATGGAGATGGAGTGACGCAATCCAAGCAGTCTAAGCTTGATTTCTCTTCTCCACAAACATCTGTGACTGTGACACAGACTGAATTAAACAAATTGATAGCCAGGTATGTCGTTGAGAACATGCTGCCTTTATCAACAGTCGAGTCAGATTCCTTCAAGTCTCTTATTGCCAAGATACCAGCAACATTCACTCACACTATGGCATGTCCCACAAAATAACATCAACTGTGATGGACAATGGCTCTAATTTTGTCAAGGCCTTCAAAAAGTACCAGCCAGTTTAGGAGGATGACTCTGAGAATGATGAGGATGAGGTAACTTTTACAAACAGTGTTGGTGATGATAATGACAATGATGATAATGTAGGTGTGATGATCACTCTGCCGCCACACCAGAGATGTGCATCGCACACATTAAGTCTTGTTTCTTGTAATGATGTTGACAAGTGGCTACTTTCACAAACAGAAACAAAGGCAGTATATAGAAGTGCTACCACAAAGTGAACAGGGTTATGGAACAAGGCCAGTCGTTCAACAGTGGCTGCAGAGACAGTGGATGGCATTATTGGAAAGAAACTGCTAGTTCCTTGCACTACAAGATGGAATTTGTTTTATGATTCCTTGCCTCAAATCTGTGAGATTTCTCTGGTTGAGCTGAACACCATCTTCTCCAAGTTTGGGTTGACCGCCATGACAGAGCGGGAACATCAGTTCATCAGGGAGTACTGCACTGCCATGAGGCCACTTACAGTGGACCTGGACATTCTTCAGGGAGAAGACAACACTTTTTATGGGATACTGCTACCCACACTGGAGACATTAATGTTTATGACCCTGGAGTTGAGCAGTGACCTGCAAATTCTTGAAAATCTTCCAGAGGCAGTCGTCACAGTAAGAACTTTAAAAAGAACAATTATGAAAAATTTAATGTCAAATGCAATATATTTTTAAAGATGCACATGATATATAATGTGGTGTGTGTGTTTATGTGTATAGATAGGTTGTATAATATATGCTTTACATACTTTACTTTCAGAAAACAAGATTTTCAGAGGTATTGGAAAGTGAAGATGCTCTCTTGGCTGCTGTGACTCTGCCCAAGTTCAAACTACATTGCCTGCGGACACAGGAAAGGAAAGACAAGGCCAAGGCAAGTCTGCTGGCAGGGTGCCGGAAAATTGTCCTTGACAAAGACCAGCGAGCAGGTACCAGCACACCAACATGCCAACTTAGCACAGACTCAACCACAGAGGATGACTTTTTTTCCTTTGAAGATGAGGACGACACCTCTACTACTGCAGAAAGTCAAGTCATAGATTATTTCAAATCAGGATCACATGGAATGGACTCTCTGAATAGATATGTACTGATAAGGAATATTTCACTCAGATACAATGCAGCCACGCCATCCAGTGCCCCAGTAGACACACTCTTTAGCCTTGGACTGTTTAGCTCGTCTTCTCTCCAAAGAGGAACAGACTCTCTGATGAGAAATATGAGAAGCTCCTTGTTTTGAGATACTACCACTGGTTTTTTAACGGCTAGGATGAATGGATGTGAGGGGTTTGTGGATGTGACAAATAAGAATTCTTCATGTTTTAAAAAAGCAGAGGACATACATATACATCTACTGCAAGAACTTCAAATAGATTGTAAATGGCCATGGAGTTGACACTTTGTATTACCTGATTACATTTTTATACCTTATAAAAACGTTTTAGTTTTATTATACAGTGTACTTTTTCAGTATTAAATTGAAATCACCTCAACTATTTACTTTTGCGTTGAAGAAAACACTTGTTTAGCCAGAGTTCTCTAAAGTTGTTACAGTTTGGCTCATTTAATTTGCACTACATTGCTAAAAGCATAATTTAATTTAATACTTATTTGATAGTCAGCTGCAGCCTGTTTATGTTTTATTGTATTATTTATTACAGATTTTTTAAAAATAATTCTCTCTACAATTATAAAATATTATCTGATTGGTGTTTTGTTATATTATCACAGTAACATTTGAATAGTTTGTATACATATATATTAATGTTTACTGTTAGTTATTTCTGTTAGGTGCTTATTTACTTCAATTATGTATTTAGTTTTATAACAGAGAATTGCATATATGTTTTAGTATGTTCAAGTATGTTTAGTAATTTATTTTTTATTGTTTTAGTAACTTTGTTTAAGGCTGGATTCAAGTTGTTTTACATATTTAAACATTTTTTAAAGAAACACAATAATTACTTTTCTTAGTAATTAATTACTTTTATGATATTGTAACTCAGTTACTAATTCAGTTACTTTTTTGAAGAAGTGACTAGTAACTGTAACTAATTACCTTTTCAAAGTAACTTGCCTAACACTGGTTGTAAATCATTATAACACATATATACACTAATAAAACAAATGATATATTTTACAGATGATTTTTTTAGTGTATAACTCATATTAAGAACATATTATAACTGAGAGAGACTATGTGAGGCGATCACCTAGCATACATTGTCACCTAAGACTCTGAAACTGAAATGCTAATGCAGGGCCTAAACTTCTGCAATGTCTTTAACTGGGTATATATTATCTAGGATTTTAAAATAAACTTTCTTAACTTTATTGCTTAAGCAAAATTTTCCTATATGTAGTTCAGTTTAATTCCGTCTTTCCTGGGCTTTGCAGCACACCTCTTATTATTGTGTCAAACACCACTGAATATTCTTTGGGGGTAATGGGTAAATTAAACTTTGATAAAAAGCACAAAAATTGCCTGTTTTGCAGATGGCTGCTGGTTATTTGTGAATCGCCTAGGCCTCACCCAGAGAACCACCATCGCCACTTCCAGGACAACTGGATGGGCCTGGCCCTTTCCACACGCCAGGGATCTTTATGATGTGGTGACTCGATGGCTACAACCTGGTCCCAGGTAAAGGGAGGCTGAGCTGGCTAAGCTCGTGGTGATGGAGCAATTCGTGGAGGGACTGCATTCATTTCTGGTCCATCAAACCCATCAAAGAGGCAGAGTGGGTGGAGGTTAGGTGTGTGCATGGGGACATTCATAAATATCTCATAGTACTGCCAGAAATGAACTACAAGGGCAAAACACAAAGAATTTAGGCCATGGTCAGAATCCCACCTGATGCATCCCTTAATTCTGGGAACAGATTGGTTGGGGTTTAATAATGTCTTGGGGCAGTGTGCGTTCATGACTGATAGAGATCTGTAGTGTTTTTGTTACGCTCAGTCAACCTCGTCCGACTCTGGGAGGAGAAGATGGCTGTGATGTCTCAGCAGACCCTTCTGCAGTAATTCACTCCACAGGAGATTTCCCAGTAAAGCATTCTCGTGATGACATTCTACGCTCAGCCTTTGGCCAAGAAATGAAAAGTTCAATGGACCACCCAGATGTAGTGCAAAACTGCCGAAAGTGAGTCATGACACTTGCATGGAAGAGGAAAACAAGAAGGAACAACGCCAAAAAGAAATGTGAAGGCTCATTGTAACCCCATGGCAAAAACATCTTAGGGGGTAGTGCGCCAATAGTGTGTGTCCTTCCTGGAGTGTCAGCTGGTGAATCATGCAGCCAATTATTGGATTATGGATAGGGATTATATGGATTAGCTCTTCTTTTATTTTCTCTCTCAGAAAGGGGGGGCTCAGAAAAGAATTACCAACCAGCGCCAACACAGAGAGATGGAAAAAAGGGACAAGGGAGCAGGCGCGCAGGGAGGACCCTGGGGCTGGAACACACAGGCAACACATGTGAGGCAGATCAATGGAAAGAAAAGGGAAGGGGAGGGAGAGCCAAGTCGGAAAGAATCAGGCAGCCTCCGGCCCCACTGCCCCACGTATTCAGTGCCACTCTCGACCCACCTGGTGACAAGAGACAATACAGGAAAATAAAATAAACCTCCATATGACCAACCCACAAGTCTCGTAACCCCTATTCTCCCAGTTGATCCAGCAACGTGACACGCCAACAGCATCCCAACCTGCCCTTAACACCTACAGAGAGTCCTACTGTGCATTACATAGATATAGTTATGAGTTAAATGTGTCAATGTGTGCTAAACTAGTACTGTGCATTAAAAGAATCAAGACAGGTGATGTCCAAAACCAACCCCACGTCAGACACGGAAGTGGAGTCAGAGCCACCAATCCTGACTGAGATCTTGAAACTGCAAAACAGAATTGAAGAGTTAACGATAGAGCAATATAGAGACCCAATTAGAATTAATGATATGCTTAGAAAGGACAATTAAGAATATCCATTGTGGAATTCGATCACAGGCAAAATCAGCTTTCTAGAGTCATATCTAATAAGTTAATGAATGGAGACCATGTTTCAATAAACTGTGTCATACTTTTCTTTAAAGAGGCAGATACTCTTTCCATTGATATGTGCTCAATTAGGATATTCAACCAATGATTAATGCTCAGTGATTGTTTCTTTTTCCAGTTGATAAGTATTATTGGCTTTGAGTGTGGGTTTACCTTGTTTGGTTGGAAGACTAATTGAAGTTATGTGAATGAGTAAGCACAAATGAGGAGACAATGGGATTCTGCAGCCCAAGACAGAGGAAAGATTTTGAGTGCTGAACAGGTGAACACAGCCGTAGCGCATGAAAATATGTGCCTGCAGTGTTTTGAATACATTGAATACAAAGTCAAGCATGGAGATGGGTATGTATATTGATTTTGTGACAAAAATTTATTTATGTAGTTGAAAGAGAGTTTTTTTGTTTTTTGGGAAAAGAGGTGAGATGTCCTTTGCAAATGTAGGTGTTTGTACAGTTATGTGAAGCATAGGAAATCTTTTTAGGAAAATTGCATTTTTAAGTTGTAGGTAGTAGAGAATATTTCTTTTGTCTAATATTTGAAACAGCTTAGAGACTGACATGAGCCTAGTATCTATAAAGGTGTGATGAAAATGTGAGATTCTTTTCTTCTCCCATGTTCTAAAGTGAAGAGTTGCTCTGTTAATCTGAAAATCTGGATTGTGCCAAATTGGAGATTATGCCAAAGAATTGCAATCCCAAGGGTTTTCCATCAAGCTGTTGAGGTGGAGATCAACTGTTTTTTGAAACTGTTATTGCATTTAAAAGAGTAAGAGAGGAAATTTGAGGTTGTTACAATCTATTTGTTCTAATTCTATCCAGGAGTTGTGAACTGGATTTGAGTTAATCAGTTTCATATTATATGGTATCTGGTTAGCTAAATAGTAATGTAAAAAAAACAATGATGCCCCACCAGAGCCCTGTTACATTTGTTTTTCTGGAGAGTTGAGAAACCTTTTAGCTTTTCTGTTTTTCCAGTAGAATTTTATGATGTTGCAGATTTTAACATCCATGTAGTTGCTAAAAATAACCCCATCAGCACAGCATTTAATCTGTTATTAGACTCAACTATCTTCTCTCAAAATGAAAAAGAACCAGATTATTATCTTGTTAATAATTTTACCCCATCACTATATGTATGACTCTGGATACTGTAGCTCCTGTAAAAAAAGAGAGCTTCAAGTCAGAGGTACTTGACTCCCTGGTATAACCCTCAAATGCACAACTTACAGCAGATAACTTTTAAGCTGGAGAGGAAATGATGTATCCCAAATTTAGAAGATCATCATTTGGCCTGAAAAAAATGGTTTGCTGCTTTATGAAAAAGCCCTCTGAAAAGCAAGAACATCTCAGTATTCATCACTGTTTGAAGAAAACCCTAGGTTTCTCTTCATGACTGTAGCCAGGCTAGAGAGAACCCCCCCCCCACACACACACACACACACACTCACACACTTTCTGTGAAGCAAATGATTTATGACACAGGACACAATATAGGAAGTAATAAAAAGTTATGACAGTCATAATTTTTATGACATATGGTAAAAATATAATATTTTATAATGGAGTAATAATCATATGGCTCAATCATATGAATGATGTACCACAAGCCTTCAAACTGGTAGTAGTTAAACCCTTACTTAAAAAGCCATCTCTTGAGCGTGCTGCCTTAGCTAATTATAGGCCAGTCTCCAACTTTCCTTTCATCTAAAAATTCTTGAAAGAGTAGTTGTTGGGCTTCTCTCTACTGGATCTCTGTTAGATCCAGAATATAATATACTCTTTGTACTTTTAGCTTCTACTTTTTTACATCACACTGTGCACTTCAGGACATTCAAATATGAAAGGTTTTTTTAGAGAGTCAAACAGGAGCTTGTACTTACAATTATGTTACTGCTGAGTGATCTTATGAAGTGATAACTTTCAACCATGTAACCTGACAAATATTATTGTTATTTTAGTTCATTTTCACAGACAGCTAAAGTTTTGAGCACTATGTGCTTTCATGTTTCATTTAAAATTCTTTAGTCCATCCACATAAATCCATCCACACACAGACTAAGGCTACGTCCACACGTACCCGGGTATTTTTTAAAACGCAGATTTTTCTATGCATTTGCACCTTTCGTTTTTGCATTTAGGTGTGGACAAGAAAATGGAGAAAACCGAGAAAATGCAGTGTCAAAGGTGTGCGCCTTCTTTGACGTCGCACTGTGCGCCACGTTATTGTTTCGGTGAAATGAATTTCTACAATACTGTTACTGTTAATTGTACTCTGCAGTGTTTGAATGCTTACATATACACACACAGTTACTGTCCCTCCACACATACCACTCGGTCCTGCTTCTATGCCCCATCCTTGTTTACTATTTCCCACCGAGGCTTCTAGACTTCTGATTGGCCAACATTTCTGCACGGTTGGGAATATATCGCCACCTGTTGCTTTGGCATGTTCCTAGCAGCGTTTTCCTTCATTTCTGCGTTTACGTGTGGACGGGATTATTTTTTTAAACGAAAACGGAAAATCTCCGTTTTCAAAAATACCCGTGTACGTGTGGACGTAGCCTAAATCGATTTTGAATTGCCCTGTACTTGAAAGAGATTTGATGGAGGAGGAACCGAGGGGAAAAGTTCTTCTTTTATATAAGGAACAAAACCAAAATGTCCATCACAGGAACTCAGAAAATAGTCCAACACAAAATGTCCATGAAAAGCACAAAACAGGTGGGCCAATAACAACCATGGGCTGCAGGGAATAGAGTCCAGAAACATAGTTCAGGGGGCCGACCCCGGTCCCGACAGTACAGGAGCCAAGGGGAAAGCATTTCAGGGGGCCGACCGTGCGGACGGCAACAGCAGCAACGTGGAAACAGTTCTGGGGGCCGACCGTGCGGGCGGCGACGGGGAAACAGTTGTGGGGGCCGACGACGACGGCGATGACGTCCAGCTGGTGGCCCAGAAAGTGCGGGGTGCAGAACGTGGCATCTTCTTGGACGGGGACAGCAGCAGCTTCTTGAACGTCCTCTATCTGCTGCAGGTTGAAGGCTCAGTCATCAGTGGAAACCTGGGAAGCATAACTCTCCCTGCATCTGTAATCACACAAGCAGCAAACAAACTTTAATAAATCTCTTTTGAATGCATCAGCTGATAATGTTATTGTGAGCCCTGCACCGCTGGCCCGGCCATTTATTTTTTAATGCACCTTCTCAGATTAATTCACTGCGTGTTGTGCCCAGGGCTGGACTGGGACCAAAAATCGGCCCAGGCATTTTGACTAGAGACCGGCCCACCAGGTATTAAAGCCATAAAGCCTTGGAATGAAAACGAACGCTGTTGTGACAATGATATACACTGTCTTGTTGGTATATGTATGATTTCTATACATTTTACATCAAATTAAAATGTTAGTTGTAAGATTCAGATAATTATTTATTAAAAGCTAGACATTTTAAATGAGAATAAGAAAGAAAAGTATTTCTTTGTGCCCTCCTTTCCCTGTTAATGCCCTACCTGCCCCCCTGGCATAACTTTCCTAGATCCACCCCTGCACAGTTACCAGCTGTCAGCTACTTAGAAAAGGATCCTGGTGTTATTTGTCTCTCAGAAACTGTTCATAACTTCCCTTCAACTCATTCATGTCACCTAAAAGGTAAACCTGTTTTTCCATCACCTGTTCAGCTCTGATGATTCAGTAAGGACATCTCCTGGTTTCATCTTCATGTTTCCCTCTCACCAGATAACCAAACCATATCATGACCAGCAGCTTTACAGCTGTGGCTCCAGCAAACATCAGCTGATACTAGAAAGTAATATTAAATAAATTCTAACAACAGCTGATCAAGCTTAAACGTGCTGCTGTTGTTTAGCGTGACATCCGCTGGGTTCCTGTTTCTGGCGCAAAGTGGGCGATAAACAAACAAGAGAGAAAAGCCGATCACTGATCAGTTTCATGATTGAAGTAGCAACAGGAGAGGGAGGGGGAGAGAATGAGCGAAGAAGAAGCAGCTGACAGCGTAAAGACAGAATAACTCCAGCTTTGTGTCTTTTTCCATTCTAGCTGAAGTACGGGACAAACTGTTCCTTTTCACCTCAATACGAAACGCGTAATATTTTCTCTGAATACCAGACGATTCCACTTTTTACCGAACGGTTGGCAACTCTACTAACTAACCTTATGAATAAAATAAAGTTCACTATCAGTAACATCATAGCACCCACCCAGCTGTATAGAAACTCTGTCATGCCAGCTAGTATGCAGTACAAGTTATTGACTGTAAAAATGAAAATGAACTACACCTAAACTTGGTTTATATCTGACCCAGCTAGACTGCAGGTCATAACTTCTTACCTGAAGTTCAGCTCACCTCGGACCAGCGGCCGCCTCGGGTCTCTCCTCCTCCTGCTTCCCCTTTCCCTCATCCACCTGCTGGCCTCTGTAGAAGCTCTGCTATAGCCACCACTAAACAACTGACTTATTTTGACACATCAGCCAGCATCTGGCCAATTCACCACCTTTCATTGTTTATACTGTTACAAAAATAAATAAATACATAAAATGAAGTCATCGGCCCATAAAAACAAAAAAATCACCATCGGCCCACCGGGCAAATGCCTGATGGCCAGTCCAGCTATGGTCGTGCCATCAGTTAACCCTTTAGCAAAATGAGGGATAGAAAACACCACGGCAATGGAGAAACAGTAGAGCAACAGATTTCCAGCTTCCAGTTAATGGTGTTAGGAGGAAGGAGCACAAAGCTGAGCTTGTCCCTGCTAACTGGCGCTGCCAGATGTGTGGAGCTATGAAGTATGCTGTAGCTTTTGCTGTTGGAGCTGCGATTTGCTTGGGAGCATGGGTACGGTGTGGCTTCTGGGTTCGGTGCTGATGTCTGTCGGCTTTTCGGCTAACTTGCTCAGCGTGTGGGTCCGTTTCAGAGTGACATGAGAGGAGCTGCTCATTCGCTGGTGGGCGACCCCCGCTGGTTGGCGACCCCGCTGGTTTTTGCTGAAGTGGCGGGCCTCCGAAATCACTTCATAACTGGATTTATCAGAGATGAGCTGACTAGATGGATCAACGTAGCGGACTGCATGTCGGATGGTGAGAAAACTGCTAGAAGGTTGTCAGCATTCGGCCTCTCTGAAGCGCCAGCGTGACGTTCAGTGTGTTTCTTTGATTGCTGGAGGAAAAGCAATGAACCCAGAGCTTGAGTAGTCATCTGATGCGCTGACGGACGAGAGGACGATTGTAGTGAATGGAAGGGTGAGTAAAATTATGTTACTCCTGTGAGATAAGCTGTGTCTTCCAGTTCTGAACTGAAGAAGCCTCTCGGATGAGAGGCGAAACGTCTTCAAGCAACTTAAAGAAGTCCAGACGCTTTTCTTTGCAATCTCCTTTGACTTTCCAAAGGGACATTAAGAACTACAAAGTCTTTGTTTTCACAGAGACATGGCTGGACCCTTCCATCCCTGACGTGGCCATTGTCCCCGAGGAACTCTCCATTGACCACCAGGACAGAACAAAGGACTCTGGTAAATGTAGGGGAGGTGGCATGTGCACAATGACCTACAAACGGTGGTGCACTGATGTACAGACAGTTTCGTCGGGGTGCTCTCCTGATCTTGAACACCTTTTGATCAGATGAGGTCCCTTTTATCTGCCCAGGGAGTTTACGGGGGTATTCTGTACTGCTGTTTATATCCCAACCCCCACGCTGAAACCACACAGGCACTGGACGAACTGTTTGATATTATCAACCAGCAGGAAACGTTACACTTGGAGACTGCTTTTATCATTGCTGGCGACTTGAAGAAAGTTCTGCCGAAGTTTTACCAGCACTTAAACTTTCCAACGCGTGGTGAGAACATCTTAGACTATGTTTATTCTCCATACGCACGTGCCTACAAAGCCCGCCCCGACCTGCCTTTGGAAAATCAGATCACTCCCCGGTTCTGCTGCTGCCAGCCTATAGGCAGAAGCTGAAAAGCAACCAGCCCATGACATTCAGTTCAACGCTGGACCGACCAATCAGACAGTGGCCTGCATCACTGCTTCAGCATCACAGACTCGGAAGTCTTCTGGGCTGCTGCTGACAACAATGTCAACAATTAATCTGAGTACGTAACAGACTTTATTCACAAATGCGTCAATGACGTTGTACCACGGGCTATTGTATGAACCCTACCCCAACCAGAAGCCGTGGGTTGACAGAGAGGTCTGCGCAGCGCTCAGAGCGCGGACTGCGGGCTTTAAATCTGGAGACCCAGATAAATACAAAACATCCCAGTATGCACTCTGGAAAGCAATAAAGACGGCCAAGGGACAGTACAAAGAAAAGGTGGAACTCTGCTACAGCAACTCCAACACCAATAACATATAGAGTGATCTGAACACCATCACAGACTACAAAGGAAACAGCGGCAGAGTCAGGGAGGTAACTGCTTCTCTACCTGATGAGATTAACACCTTCTATGCACTCTTTGATAAACATATATCTCAGGAGCTTTTGCTGGAAGAGGAGAGCTGCCCTCTTCAAATATCTCAGGCAGTCGTGTGTAAATACTTCAGGAAAGTAAACACTCGAAAAGCTCTTGGACAAGACAACTTTCCAGGTCGGGTTTTCAAAGCATGTGCCCATGAGCTGGCAGGTGTCTTCACAGACATTTTTAACCTTTCCCTGCTCCAGTCTGCTGTCCCAAAATGATTTAAGAGGACAACCACCATCCCTGTCTCTAAGAAAATTAATGTGAGCTGCCTAAATGACTATGATGGAGTTACTAAGCTAGCATACGAATCTGTTCTTGTTTATAAAGCCTGCGTACACATGGCGGCGTTTGAGTGAGCAATTGTGTCCACTAGAGGGTGGTGTTGACTCACAAATGAGGGAATTGGCCTAAATTGATTATGATTCTGTGTCTATGAAACCTGTTATGTTATTATGCTAAGCTCCTTCCTGTTATCTGGTTCTGTCCATTTGTAATCTGGTATGGTGTTCTCTGTAATACTGAAGTGTGAGAAATGCTAAACAAGAGAGAGAGATGTTTATGTTATTTCTTATTTGTATTAACCACATCTTGCCAGCGAGAGTGTGGGTTGGTGTTGGACATGGGCTCGCGGTAAATAAAGGTCTTCCACTCTGACATCATTCCCCGTCTCTGACCGGACGTTATTACCAGGGAACAGTACCGAATCATGTTTCAGAGATAGTGGTCCAGGGCGTCACCCCATAACTCTGTTTTGTCCTTCTCCCTTAGATCGCTCAAGTACGCCACCAGCCCCCAGCTCTGTGCTTTCGTTTTCTCCTCATCATCGTACATTTACCCTGTCACTGTAAATAAACCTCACTCACTGCACTCCCGAGTCTCTGTGTGTTTCTGCCACGAGTCCACCCTTTAGAGTCACCTAACATTCACAAGTAGATATCAAATGTGGTCATCACTGTAGCCTGTGCAAGAGTCTTTTATCATTATTAAATTTTGTGCTGAGATTAATTTGGTGAAGAATAGTGTGTTATGTTTTTTCCCCCTATAACACATGGGCAGTTTGATACATGTGCTACATTTACATGTGTTAGCATTATCAGTGAGTGTTATCTGGTTTGCCTGGTATTTGTCTTCTGATGTGTTGGTAACTGAATTGGCTCAAACGCTTCACAGCACAGTCTTTGTAAGCTTCTTATTAACAGAAAAGAGGCAAAGCCGTGATCAAACAGCATCAAAACCAGATTCAGAATAATTAACTTTATAAAGTAGTTCTTCACCATCCTGATTAACTGCCATGCCCCAGGGCTGCCACAAACGTACATACACTCACCGGAGAGACAGAGAGACATTGAGAGATGCTCAGAGTATCTCTCTATCCATTCTATGGGGAAAACACTTTGATGTAGAGAGGTCAGAGGAGACTGCTTTGAGTTGATAGGAAGACAACAGTAACTCAGTAACCACTTGTTACAACCAAGCTATGAGGAAGTGCACCGGTCAAAGCAACACATTGAACATTGGAGCAGTTGGGCTACAGCTGCAGAAGACCACACTCATGTCAGCTAAGAACAAGCAACTGAGACTACAGTTTACACAGGTTCAAGATCAAGATCCACATAATGTTGTCTGGACTTCTGAGTCTTGATTTCAGCTGCAACATTGTAGGGCTGTAAGGTTAGAATAAGGTATAAACCAACTGATCATAGTTTAAACACTGCAGCCTACCTGAGTATTGCTAACCGTGTCTGTCCCATTAAGACTACAGGTGCACTGTAGTCTTAATGGGACAGTCAGCTTACAGTACTCAAATGGCCTCCACAGTCACTCGAGCAGCTTTGGGTTAAAGTTGGAGCAGGAGATTTACATCATGGATGTGGAGCCAAAATATTTACAGAAAATGCACTAAGATGGACCAAAATCTCTCAGGAATGTTTCCAGGACATTGTTGAATGTATGCCACAAAACATTACGACAGTTCTGAAGGCAAAATAGGGTCAAACCTGGTACTAGCAAAATGTACCTAATGAAGTAGCCAGCGAGAGTGTGTTTCAGTGTTAATGGTGTCTTCACAGACCAGCAGAATTGTATGCTTTGTCACAGTCCATCTCAAACTAGCTAATTAATTATTGGCTCTACATCCACGAGGGCCACAGGAGGCAGTTTTAACTTGCATGGGTGGATGCAGAGACAAACTCTGTAAACTGACAGTGATTTCCATTTGTTCTGAAGTCCACTAATTTCCACTTCAGACACAGGCCTGTTTTTATTCTTGAGGACCTTAAGATCACAG